CCACCCGGCTGAGGAAAGACAGGCTGCTGGCTAGAGCCCGCCTGAAGACCTGTGCCGGGCTGGGGAAAAACAGGCTGGTTCTGAGAAAACACTCCCTGAGTGACTAACAGAAAGGCAAGAAAGGACAAGAAGCTAGCATCTTTGGGTACCATGTTTGCTATCGAAAACAAAACAGAACTTTATTTCTAGGATATTCTGTTAACCTGGTGTCGCTGGATCCGATGCGATTTTATACCGTTAGCCCCCAACAAATAATTGTCAACATTGTACTGTTCCCTTTCTGGCATGTCTCTCAAATTCGCCCCTGTTTCCTTAATTTTACTAGGGTTGAAATTCTTGATACATGAACGGTATGCAATAGCGGAGTGGGTCAATGGGTCCCGTGATATCTCGAGTGGATCACCATGAAGATCTCTTGTGCTGTGTGTCAAAATGCAGCCTTTTACGGTAAGGCCCTTGGGTCCGTAGGAATAATTTGTCACAGTGATCTCCGTGGTGCCAAAGAAAGGCCTGTAACCCAGATGAACAAACCTTTAGCAAAATCAAAAGTCGAGTATGAGTATGGAACGGAATATCACCATTTGATTGGACCTAATAGTGCCGATCAATTTAAATCTTCACCGAAGAATGCTACCAAAAGCACTGCGATATGTCTTAGACCTTCACGAGTGCAGTGGACCTTGCATATGCAGATATGATACATCTAACCTTGCGTCACACAATCTGGACGGTCTCACGATTGCCTTTGTTTATACAATCGCCGTCATGCAGGGAAATTAATAACGGGACTCAGGGCTAGGTGTTGCCTAGCATTAGAGGAATTCACAACTTGGAGTTGACTTTCCAAAAGGGTCCATTTATTCGTTTCCGAGAACACGAGTTACCTGAATTAACTGGGCTGGTAAAATATTGATATGGATAACGAGGAAGTTCTCAAGTCAATATCTCTGTCTTAAGATCGCGTGTGGAACCGTCAGAACCACTGTGGCAAAAGCATCACTGCGGGTCTCAGATCCTATTGTATTCTGTGTACAGCTGGCAAAATTTGTAGAAGGAAATGATATCCGAACATACCCACAGGGATCGGCACGGTCTTTTCGTACTCCGCCACGGTAAGAGCTGATTCAATTATATTACGCAGTATTCTTCCCTGTAGGAGCCTGCAGTGGCTGGCTGAGGATGCTTATCTATTGAAGTTTATTGTATGATAGATGCGTTATTTTGCATTCTCGACAGACTGGAAATCGGTGCAAGGGATTGAGATAGTTCAGCTTCAGCAAATTTTAGTGAACTAGTGTATCGCGCTGAGAACCAAGCAACCCCCATCAAGTATATATATTCGCACTTGTCCCTATATCCAACTGATGAATCCCAGCTTGCGATCCAGTTTCCATCAACCTTCCACCGTTCACGAATATCTTTTCCCTCTGTCTGAAGTAAGACCCTTGCCAGTCTTCACTGTTGCTCCCGAACTAATTAATTGATCTCTTAGACTACCTTTGAGACAACATGGTCAGCCTGAAGACTCTTGCTTGTCTTTGCCTCGTTGGCATTGCCCAAGCTCAAATGCCATGGATGCCAATCAACATCCCAATCCCTAAACCCCCGTCGGGTTCCGGGTCCGGGTCCGGGTCCGGCCAAACCTCATGCCCAACTTGTCCAACTTGTCCTGCGCCTCCAGCTTGTCCTGCGCCCCCAGCTTGCCCTTCAACTCCCGCTCTCGACCCGGCTAAGGTCAGTGACGCGAAGGCAGCTTGCGCTAGCAAACGTCCCGGGACCGTGCCTGTTTTTCGTGAGGATGGCAATCCCTACGGATGTGCCCCCAACGTCTGCACCTACCCTCAAGTTACCTTGAATTGTTAAAGCACTTTTATGCCCTGAAGGGCTGGTATTTTACTCCGTCGGGGCTTTCCAACGTTTCCCAAGAGCAATACCTCTAAGGGTGTTCTCGAGGTGAGGGGGTTTCAAGTCCCACAATTGGCTTAGCAGCACATTTCCATGTAAATTAAACCATTGTTAATGTCAATCTGCTACTGCTGCGTTGTGTTATATGAAAGTCCTTTTGAGAATTCCACGCTCTAGTAAATCTGTTCGACTGTAGCCCTCGTATCGCTCTACTTCCTCGGGTCGTCCCAACGGCCGAAATTGGGAAAAGCGAGAAAACTTTAAGCTTGGATTTGTTAATTGTTAATTTGTTTGTCTCGTTTGGGTTTTCGGTAGTCAAATGAATCTATCACCTTAAAAAAAGGACAACTTGGAAGTACCTCCGTCTTGGTTCTTGAAGTATGAATTAACTTTCCCTTAAAAGCGGCAAATTTCGACGAGGTGTGCTCTAGGGTTAGGCTCGGGTCGGGGCGAAGCTGGTGGATCCGTTTAGCTCCGCAAACCGAACGTATCATAAAGGATATCACGGATCGACAAGATCGGCGGGCCACAGTGAGACTCTATGAGCTGACCAAAATGTCTTGGGCTCAATTCCACAGCTCGATTTGGAATAGAAAAATCTCTCAAAATGTCCCTACGCTTGTTGAAGTTTTCTTTCTCTTCGAAGGGTACTTGTCCCCGACGCCAGTGATTTATTCGCTCTCTTTCAAAACACCAGTATACTTGAGTCAATCTCGCAGGATGTTTCATTTTCTCATTTGTCTTCTTATTGCTCTGGGCCAGCAGTCGCTCGCCCAGAATGATGGACTTGGGTCAATGTCTTCATTTGGCTTTGATTCAACGTTCGACACCGCCGTCCCTGAGGATCCCACTGCCTCCATGGTCTTTGTTGAGCCAGATGTCTCATTGCAATGCCCTATTCAGCCCTATCAGTCCTACCTGTTCAGCCAGAATCCTCCAGTTGTGTACGTGGCTTCTTTTGTCAACGACGCGGAGGCTCGTCATCTGATTCAGCGAAGGTTTGTCCGCCCAATAGCCATTCAATGGACCTTCTTCTTATGTCTTACTTATCTAGCGGACCTAACTTTACCCCTGCCTTCGTCTACGGCTCTGGCCAAACACAAGTGGATCAGAGCTCCAGAAAATCCCTTACAGCCCTCCCGGACCGAGATGATGTGGTTCGGTGCCTGGAGCAACGGGCACGCAACAGCCAGCAATGGGAGCCTGGTATGACCATCGAAGCTATTTCTGTGCAGCGATATGAAGAAAACGGTTTCTTCAGACACCATTACGATGCTTTCGGCGAAACCCACAAAAAGGACCGGAAGACCACATTGAATGTGTTCTTACAGGCGAACTGCACTGGCGGCGGAACGCATTTCCCCTACTTGCCGAGACCGGACGATGAGAGGTGGTGCCAGTTCATTGACTGCGACTCGGACCTGCCAGGTGTGACTTTCAAACCTATTGCCGGCAATGCCGTCTTCTGGGAGAATATTCGGCCGGATGGGACTGTGCATCCAGAGACTCTTCATGCTGGCATGCCCGTTCTGTCGGGGACTAAGATCGGAATGAACATTTGGACATGGACGAAGGATCGCAGATCTTAAAGGGTTGGGGAAGAAGTATGTTTCAAATTTGCAGTCCTGCATGTAAGAAAGCAAGAGCAGATTGTTTATCGTCCTAGGAGGGACAAACTACGCTGTGTAGTCGAGAAATGTAGCCTCCAGCGGTCTCCCTTTTTGACATTCTAAATTTCGTATCGCCTAATGAACAGGAGTCTTTTTTTACAGGAAAAATTCCCAGGCTCATGTGTCTGTCGGGACCGCCTCATGTTTCTTAGTGATTACACTGGGTGGTGTGGCTCCTTCGTAGGACTGTCATTTATTAGTCGACTCCCCGGGCTGCAGGTGCTTGGAACCCTACCACTTTACTTAGCCTCTAGTTTTGCTGTCAGCGTTTGGCGCCATATTGCTTCCAGTGTTGATGATAACTCACTCTATTTAGGTTCTACCATTTCTTATCGGGTTCAAGGGACCCCCATCATCAACCCCTCAAAATGTCCATCCACCTTACTATGTATATATTGTTGAAATAGCAAGTTCAAGTGCCCCTGTAGTTTATAGACCACCGAAGCGTACCCAAGACGAAGAGATCTAGCCATTTCAGCTACATCGCTTACGCACAGAATTTACTATCCCTGGATAGTTATGAGGACTCGAAGGATATGCTCCCCGGTAATTATGCTGGCCGGTATACTTATTGCCAGGGTGAATCCACTGAGCAGCGCATTCCTCGCGCCGAGTGAGTAAGCTTCCACAGCCAAGGTATCTCTCAGTGGTAAAAAAAAAAAAGGAGACAACTTTCCTCGACTCTCCTGCCCTCTGCAAATAGCCGAATGCTAGACTAGCTTAATTTTGCAGCAGAGACACCATACTTCATTACGTCTTGCCCTGTAATGACATAAAGTCACAGCAAACCATCGTTACACCACCGAGAACGCCAAGGTACAGGCTACGGCTGACACTGAAAGAAAAAAAGCTGGGCACATCACCCCTCACTCCGTCCTTTTAATTTTGACGGCTTCAGCCAGAGTCGGTAGATGTGTTTAGATGAAACACGAGAAAGGAAAGAAGGAGCGAAGAAATACTAAGAATAATAGCTATAGAGCAACAAACATCATCTAAATGCTTACATATCCAAGAGCTCCCCGGTTCTTGGAAAGGATTGTCTTTTCGTCTGCAACAAGATTTTCGCCTTGTCGGCTGGTCCACTCAGTATCGCATATGATTCGCCCTTCCATTGCAGCCCCCTTGTCCTCATGCAAATCATCATTTCATGAATCTCTGAGCTGCCGCCGGTGAAGTAGACCGCACCGGCATAACATGAAGAGGAACCATCTCCACAACAGCCCCGACCACAGCATTTTGGATATGAAGCTAAAATTCTACGTTATTAACTTGGGGAACTGTAGAAAAACGAAAGCCGTTTGAGGCTTGGCATATACATAGAGCTCTTTCAATTTCCCATGTCGATAGTGAACCAAAAAACTGCTAACAGAGCAAAATGTTTCCATCTCCACTAACCCTTACATGGAAGTGAGAAGATCATGTTGAAAAGCTGCATATAGCTTCATCTATAGGGGCTAAGAACCCTTCTATTAAGGATTGCTAGGGCTATATCACGGGCGTGATAAGAAACCCCACCATTTCCCGATTTGGCGACGGGCATCACCTGATCTCGGAGAAGGATCCCCCACGTTCCGGCGTTTTGGACGTGAATCACTTCGTATTAGCCATGCAGAAACTAGAAGTATCATGGGCGAAAGAAAGCACAGACATACCACATTTTCAGGGTCAGTAGGATAGCGTGCGCCGTATGGCATCTATTGACATTGATCAGGTGTTGGACCTGCAAGGCCCGAAAGGTCAAATGTGACGAGAACCCACTGGGCTGCGCAAGCTGCCTACGACTCGGACTAACCTGTGGTGGATATGATATCCAACTGCAATGGATTTCCTCGGACGCAGGTCGTCGGCCCCACAGGGATCTTTCTGCACGGATCGGAAGGAGGCGCATTGGTGCAGGTGAGTTAGCAACTTCAATCACTCCCTCTTCTGGTTTATGCATCAAACGCTCAGATTTTGTTTAAGGCTGGACTAGTATCCTTCAATTCAAGGCAGACGAAATCGATGAGTTTCTCACTAGAGTAAATGAGGACTCAGACCGAGGGGTGTCGACAACACATGGCCCTTTTTCAGTATTCCCTGTAGACCGAAACCGTAGCAATCACCGGAAATCTCCCGTTTCACCACCCGAGCAGGCACTATCGCGGCACTCAAATGGTGCAGCAACCGTGGCGGGCTCCCCAGAAGGGACTCAAGATTGCGAATCAAATTACAATGGGCCGAACTATCGGATCCCACCGTTGCCTTCGAATTCTAGCGCTACCCCGCTTGATACATTGTCACTACCCTCAAGGACCGCGCCTACTCAAGATGATGAGCATACCGGGTCAGAGCCCCAATCTTACTTTGCTCATGATAATCAAGGATTGCAGACTGCCTCACCAGAATATGTCAACGATGTGGCTCCCTGGAGTACAGATATTCTAGCAAATTCTGAACTTTCGTTGTTACAGCAACCGCAAATGTGTCTGTCGAGCAACTGGAAAACCAACAAGCTCTTCCACCATTATGTTACAAATGTTGCTGATATACTTCTGCCAGTCTCACACCCAGGAAATCCCTACCGCTCGTTGTATGCCCCGGCAGCACTTGAAGGATCGCTGTACTTCGAGTCCGGGCTTTTTAATGCAGCCCCGAATATTGGACTGTGCATATTCCATTCACTTATGTCCACTTCCGCCTTCCATCTACATCAGTGCTATGACTCTAACACTGAATATCATCATCTGGGTATCACCCACCGGCAACTTGCACTGGAGTCCCTGCGAATGGTTTTGAGGAACGAGGTACCACTATTTGACTATAAGACTCTTTTGGTCGCGCTTCTTTCTATGATCACGATTGGAGTACGTTACCTACTATCTACCTAAAGAATTTTAAGCCCAAATAACATTCGGTCAGGTGATAGAAGGAAGCATCGTCGACTTTCGTGTCCACCTTCAAGGGATAGCTAATTTTCAAGGCCCTCGCCGCAAATGGCAATTAATAAGCGGAGACACTCGTCAGCTGAATACTCAAAGTGCATTCTTGAATCTTCTTGCCCGCACTACCTCTCGTTGTACTCCATCGCCTTGGGGTGCAAGCAGAGAGTTGCGGCACATGGAACATGATAGTCTGACTACAAGAGATAGTCGCTCCTATTGCTATGAGTTCACATACGGGATCACAGCTGATATTGCAGCCGCTATCCAGGATATTACCGATCTCTATGAATGCCTGGAATTCTATCGCCAGGCCCAAGGGCCCATTCCGGATGATTTCCTCGAGGCTTGTGAAGATCTTGGCGATCGACTGCTTTCCTGGACCTTGACCTCCGATAAGGTTCCCTCTTTCAATGACAGGGGCATAGATGAGTTTGATATCTTCAAACATCATTCCCACGCATGGCATGGGGCCGCTCTGATATTCTACCTAAATCGTATCCAAGGAGTCAATGCTCAAGACTTAGTACAAGAGGTGGCCACAGTTGCATCTCATATGCTCGCTGTTGAAGAAATCAAATCGAGGCATGTCGCCAACCAGATGGCTCCAATCAGTTGGCCAGCCTTTATAGCATCATGCTGCGCCTTAGATCGAGAGCCTTGGGAAACATGGTGGCTGGATGTACAAAAGTATGGCATTGGGAGTATCCGAAGACAGTATAGTATTGTGCAGGAAATATGGTATGAAATGGACACTCATCCATCTGAGGGGTGGTTGCAGATTCTTCACCGGCGGAACATACAAGTTCTAGCTGCCTGATAAATGGACTGTTGATGCCATTAGAGCTGAAGTGTATGTAAGGCAGTGCATACTGTTCCAATCGGGAAAACATGCTAATATATTAATTCAAGCGATTCACCTCTGTGCTGGGAGGGAGCTCTTTCTGGCTAAACTCTTATATACACGAATACACAGCTCATCCAGCGAAGGTACTCAAACATGAGAACAGATTAACAAACTGCTATGATCAGTAAAACGAATTATACGAAAGATGAATTGGAAACAAGGTCACTCACTGCCAATAACACCATTAACAGGGATGTCAATGGAGGTCGTATAACTAGCCGCATCACTTAGGAGGTAAACATATGCACCGCCGAGCTCCTGTACCTCCGCGAGTCTAGGGAATCCGCCATAGTACTTCAGCTGCTGCTCCCAGTCCGGTTGCTGAGGTACCCAATATGTCATAGCGGTCTTTACTAGGCCTGGAGAAACACTGTTCACGCGAATACCGTATTGAGCCCATTCCATGGCTAGCGTATGGGTCATGTTGCGAATACCCGCTTTTGAGGCACCGTATGGGGTGGAGGGTACTCTCTATTTTGTACATTAGCTCTTGATAGCATAACAGGGGATAGTCTTTATGCAATGTATTACTTACCTTATTAGGGCGGTATGAAGCCATCGAAGCTGTAAAGACAATGGAACCCTTAATGCCCAATTTGATAAAGGCACGTGCAGCCGCCCGCGCTGTGTAAAATGCCCCGAACAGGTTGACATTGAACAAGTTCTCAATTTCTTCCTTGGTGAAATCCAAGGCAGCCTTATGATGCGTACGGCCCGCATTTACTACCATACCGTGTAATGCGCCTTCCTCTGCAATAATCTTCTCGACAGCTGCGGTGATTGTCTCCTCTTCCGTGACGTTTGCATTCAATGCGTGAAGTCTTCCCGGATAACGCTCCGAGAGTGCTGCAAACTCTTCACCCACCTTGCCGATATCAATGGAGTAGACTCTTTCTGCACCGTTGGACAGACAACATTCTGCAATTCCTAGACCGATGCCCCGGTTTGCGCCGGTAACTGCACAAATAGTAATCTGTCAATGGGACGGATCAAGAAGAAAGTTCTATACGATATTCTTACTTGCGATCACTTTTGATCCTAGGGTTACCTGTGTCTGGGGTGCGGCGGAGGCCTGAGAGGTGCTGGCAGCTTCAGTAACAGTTGAGGCAGACATGACAGTAAATCTTGATGGCAAAGAGATGGAGCGTTACAAAACGGACTGACCCGGTTGCAGTCCTATCCCGGGTACTTATAATAAGCTTGCCAACATCTTAACCAAAGTCATCTGAATATGCATGCAAACAATCATATGTCACTCTATGCCCCACAAGGATCTAAACCCCGCGTTGATTCTCCGCATAAAGAATACGATGATGTTCTAGGGCTCCCCCCCCCCGGTCCCCGAGACGAGGCACTTGTGTGGGTCTGCCAAGAACGCGCACCGAAACGAGGCATTCTTTTCATGAAGCTTTGTAAGAATGAATTAATGGAAAGGCTGATCTTATCTGTAGATGCGGGGTAGACGGTCTACCATTTACTTTCTTCGTTATATATCAGTGAACCTTTACTTTCTGTTGTGCTTGCAACCTGTGGTCTCTCAGGAGTCAGGACTCATTTTACAGCGTTGAGCTTTTCCTCAGAAATGCCTGGATCAATGCAAATATAGGCTCCCACACAGGCCGGCCAGCCGTTCACCGGATTTGAACAAAGTTATGGGGAGGTTAAGCATCAAGACTGCATTAAGTGACTACGTTGTAGGACAGTATTTAGATTAATACTCTACGCCTACAGAAGGGGTAGTTTTATCTATGAGCGATTCTACGTCCACCATCTCTAGGAAACACTAGAACCCAGATAGCAGTCCATTCCTCTGATGGTAAGTGAAGCTAGAGTGGTTCTTAGTTGAACAGTAGCACTTGAGAATAATCCGAGGCAGACTGATGATTGCATGGGTTGTCAACGGCTTCGCTGTATCGATGCGGGGAGGGTTCGACCCACTAATGGCGGGGCTGGCTATAGGATCTTTCCTCGAAGGGGAACTAGTGGCTCCAAATACTGTATCTGGATTTAGGAATAGAATCACCCAATATTCACCTTCAGACTTATGTAGGCTTAAGTTTAGAACAATACTCGGCCTCGATTCTGTAGGGCAGACTTCTTCTCTTTCTCACATCCATTGAGCGTCATATTGTCATAGACTTTGGCCATTCTTCTAATCACGATTTTGCATATAAACTTTTCAACTGACTGATTTGGCCTTTGTGCAATCCAGAGGATTTAGGCCGTTACAGTGGCTATGCTCAAATAACTCGGGGTCTACTAATTACCACATAAACCACATTGGCCATCAACTCAGTCTTATCGACCCACGTTTCAATCTGACTCAAACTACGCCTGGTATCATAGCGCCAGCAAAGACACCGTACATCATGACCAAGCTCTCAAGCACATTCCAAGTTCACGACGAGCGCTTTCTCTCTATTCTTGGTCCATTTCCTACGCTGCAATTACTAGCAGAAAACGAATCATACCCATTTGCCCACGAAGCAGGCTTTTTCATTGCTTCCACAAACCACCTCTTCATAACCAGTAGCCGCATCAGGGACGCTCAAAGCGAACAATCCGTGCGGATCACCCGCGTCCATCTTAATGAAACCCCGGTGAAATGTGAAGAGATTCCAACCAAGATTCCCCTGGCAAACGGCGGAGTCAACTACGGCGACGACGGGGTCTTAATATGCGGTCAAGGGTCCAAGACCCAGCCCAGTGGATTATATCTCATGTCCACAACACCACCGTACACCACTAAACTTCTGCAGGAAGACTTCTATGGCCGTCAATTTAGCTCTGTGAACGATGTGATTGTCCACTCAGACGGATCGATCTGGTTTACAGACCCGACGTATGGTTTCGAACAGGGGTATCGGCCGAAGCCTTCTTTACCGAGTCAAGTTTACAGATGGAATCCAGTGAATGGTAGTATTCGTGCAATGGCTGATGGATTCGGAAAACCGAACGGGATTTACTTTTCTCCTGATGAGAAGACCGTTTATGTAACTGATACGCACTGGTTGCATGGTGATGGGAATACAGATAACCAAAGGGTTTCATCAATGTATGACCTTTCTATTCGAGCCACATGTCCCTGGCTTTGGAACGATATGCTAACTTTAATCCGACATTCAGATACGCATTCGACCTATCGACCTATCATGGCGAACCCTTCCTTACAAACCGGAGACTCTTCGCAATGGCCGATAAAGGTATTCCCAATGGAATTAAATGTGATCTAGACGGCAACGTTTATAGCGGCTGCGGTGATGGGATCAGTGCCTGGTCTCCTGGTGGTGCTCTGCTGGGACGCATTCTGATCGACGGCGAAGTCGCGAATTTCTGCTTCGGGAGGAATGGTGAAATATTCGCATTGAATGCGCATCGGCTGTGGAGGGCCCAGCTGGGAGGTGATGTTAAGGGCACATTGTTAGGGATATAATGTATTACATATATAGACAATTTATGAATGGCTATTGTTGCATTTATTTGGGAAACCCTTCCTACTAGTACTTCTAGGGCTAGTTGGAGGCATGATCTGATATGGCCTCGTCTCGGGGCACGCCTCGGTTTAGACACTAAGGCCACCATGCAGTCAAAAAAGTTTCCTATTGACCAATCCAGAAAAAATCATCAATAAATCGACAATTAGAATGATATTCGAGTGTTGGATATGGTGCTAGGTCCCCATTAGGAGTGGCTTAGGAAATTTGCAGTCTTAAGATAATGGACAAATAAGTTTAGGTCCATTGAATTTTGATGTATACGCAGAAGCCACAGCCCATACATCCTTAGCGCTATATACTTATAACTATAATGAGAACATAACTCCACAGCAGATTGCCATTCGCTATAGAGTCAAATTGTATTAGCAGGATGCTCATACGTGTTGACAACTTCAATCGGCCAACCCAACCAGCTTTCCCAGTCCGGTCCCAGATGTTCTATAATCCTTTCAACCAAGAACTTCCCTGCATCCCCGAAGATCCATAAGCCACGATAGAAATGCAAGTTCGTGGCATAGTACGCGAAAATAACAAGGGCCTCCGGTCGGCGACGTGTTAGACACTCAAGATATTCCTCAGGGATGAGGACCGGCCATGCAATAATACTACTAGGTGGAGGATGCCGGATAGTATCACTCTCACTGTGTGTGACTATTTGCAGAAACTCGATAGTCCGTCGATAGACGTCAGTAAGTGGACTTCCAAGCTTGGCTGCTTTGATAGACTTGAGAAGCCCTGCGTACATAGGGTTCAGCGGAACTTTAGTTTTCGATCCCAACGCTTGAGTATGAGCATGCGATAGCCCTCCCAGAGGTGTCTGCTTGAGTAGATCCCAGGTTTGCCCGGCAATCCCCCGCACACCTCGATGAAGCTGGGCGTATTGGACGAATCTATCTAGAAATGGGACCCAGTCGTCCTCGCGGTACCGGAGAGTTTCACAGAGCATGTGTGTCCCCAGCGCAGATGAGAAGAGGAATATTGCCATCCAATTTTCTGCGTTTAAGCTGCCAGAGACTGAATTGAACTGGGATATTGCATGTGTCTGCAGTTGAGTTGCATGGAAGCGGTAGTATTCTTGTTGCGCTGGCCGTACAAGGCTTAGATGTAATGCTGCCATTCCCAATAGCTCGTTAACCAGATATGGTGCCGAGATACTGTGGCCTGTAATCATATCTATTAGGTGATCAGTGTCTTCGTTGGCATCCGCCAATGAAGTCAACGTTTCCGTGAACAGGTGGTGGAAGAGTTCTGCGTGGAGCATATTCACAGGCGGTGATGGCTCCCCTTGTGGTAGCTGGGGCTCAACATCTGGAAGTGCTGAGGCCTGTGAAGAGGTACTTGAAGGGGCCGGTGGTGTAGTTGAAGGGCTTCGTTGATGGCTAAAGTAAATTGTTGAATTGAAAACGCATTGCCGGTGGGAGAATGTGCAATTGGTGCACTTTGGCCTTTTTTCGTCGCACTTGGAGCGAGTCAGCTACTTGGAAATTACTATTCCTCGACATCTCATGATATTAAACATAGCGTAAAAACGGGCCTAGGCTGAATAATACGGTGGCGAACTTACCTTGATATGGCGCCGTTTGCATTGCACACAGCCATTCCTTGACTTCGTGTGAGCCCTACGCGGCACAGGGCTCCTTGTGGAAGCCATCGATAGCGCACAGAAATCTGACCAGCTATAGTCACTCTGTGGGCCTTTCAGTCTGCCGTGTTCATATTGCTAGTATGAAGGGGAGAACAGAAAATGTCAAATGCACATTTTCCACCCTAATTCGGAACGGCCTGAACCAGGGGATAAACTGGTCCGTGCATACGCGCGTATTCGGGATTGCTCCACCATGCCAACTCTATCCCAGGTGCCCAGCGATGTTAGCGAGCCCTAACAGAGGTATGAAAGGATTGATTCTATTATAATCTTATTCTGGTAGAGTGAAGTCACTTTTTCGCTCCACGGAAGCGACTTTGCCGAAATTCCCACTTTCTATGTCTGCCGTACGTCACATGAGCGAAGGGTACTAGTTCTTAAGAGGTATATAAATGAATATCAGCGGAAGATGTCCTTCCCAAATGGCTGTAGTATCCAAGCTTTGTTTACCATTTTATACTTACAAAATCATTTATATCACTGAGTTACTATGCCATTTTCTTCGCTTAGTTCACGGTGCTCTAGTCATTCAATCCACATCCCAGACGTGCCTGGGGCAAGTTTCCATTCTCTACAAGCAAGTTTGGTGACGAATCTTTCGAGCTATGTCGGAGAGTATTACTACTTGAACCACAAGTCAGTCCAGATTGATAATCTATCATTCTGTAATGTTTCACTGGCATACATGCACAGAGACCAGACCGATCAGACCAACGTACAGGTATGGCTGCCGATTGATACTTGGAATGGACGCATGATGGGCGTTGGAGGAGGCGGCTGGCAGGCTGGACTGTATCCAGAAAATTTCATGGCAATGCAGGGGGCAATTGGACAAGGCTACGCCGCTGTGTCGACGGATGGCGGCCATAGTGCGGACCAGAATCTATCTGACTGGCTATTGACAACCCATGGAGACATCGACTACTCTTCGCTGAATAACTTTGCCGCAATATCGTTGAGTGACACCTCTATCATTGGTAAAAGCATCATCAAAAGCTTCTATGGAAATAGCCCGAAGTACTCATACTGGAGCGGATGCTCCCAGGGAGGACGTCAGGGGTTGGTGCTAGCGCAGAGATATCCCGAGGCTTACGATGGCATCGTCGCCTCAGCCCCCGCGATTAACTGGAGTGAGTTTCTCGTTGGTGGGTTTTGGCCACAATTTATCATGAACCAACTAGATGCCTATCCCCTTTCCTGTGAGCTCGACTTCATCACCAACGCAGCCGTCGCCTCGTGTGACGGGAGGGATGGAGTTGAAGATGGGATCATATCCAATGGCGACTTGTGCAACTTCGATCCTTACAGTCTCATTGGGACCACCTTAAATTGTGATGGCAGATGGCTCAATATTTCCCGGGCGGCTGCAGATATCGCAATGGCAGCATGGCTTGGGCCCATATCTACAAACGGCATATCCCTTTGGCACGGTGTGGGGTTAGACAGCAATCTCACAAGCCCATCTTCCATAGCTTCGACACACTGCTACTCCAATGAAACGTGCATAGGTTCTCCGAACATTCTATCTTCCGAATGGATTCAAGTGGGTATCGCAAGACATCCCGGATTTAACCTGCGAAACTTGACCCACGCACAATACGTTCAGGTATTCGAGACTTCAGTTCAGCAGTATGGACCCATCATTGGCACCCATGATCCGGACCTGACAGCATTCCGCGATCGTGGTGGGAAACTACTGACCTACCATGGCTTGGTAAATCTGCTCTTAGAATCTCTCCTTTTAACACTTCATTAACTCATCAATAGGCCGATCCTATTATTCCTTACAAGAGCACCAGGCAGTACTATCAGGCTGTGGCTTCCATTGACCCTGATGTACGACAATTCTTTCGACTATTCGAAGCCCCGGGCATGGGTCACTGTTGGAGCATGTCTGGGCTTTACCCTTCCACAATATTTGATGCGATGGTTTCCTGGGTGGAAGAGGGAGTTGTCCCGGAGAATTTGCCGGCAGTATTTTCGGACCGCGATGGAGTCAACTATGAGAGAATTATTTGCCCTTATCCAGAACAGGCAGTTTACAATGGACATGGCGATCCCACGATGAAGAGCAGCTTCTATTGCTTAGCTGGACGCTAACCATGAGTATTCGGGACAAAGATGGCAGGAAACAAACAATGACATCAAATGTAGTAAATTTGAGTATGACTAGCTTGTGCAACTTGACCTACTTCATAAAGCTCTGTATGGGCATCAATTAAGAGTATACCGTAGACACACTGAGGAGCCGTATGCACAGGCCAGAAGCATGATCAGCATTTGTTTCCTATCTACCTCTGGATAAAGTGGACCTCGGGTCCCTCCCGTATGCACGGGCCAGTTTCTAAGAACGCTTACGTCTTTTTCCGGCCCACTCCTCTTGATAGCTGTATATGGTACTCCGCCTGGGTATTAAAAGAGAACAGGGCCGGGCATATAAAGACATTACTGGACTGGTGCTGTGATTTGTATCATTCCGACCTCAGCAAAATCTATTGTTCCCCTCATACCACTCCATATTCATCGGCCAAGTAGTCCGGAGGCACACAGAATGGGCGAGTTAAAGCCCTACAAGCAGGGCTACTACTTATGGCTCTATGTCCCATCTCTCGCAGCAGCAATTATTTTCCTACTGTTTTTCGCAGTAGCGACTATGATGCACACCTATCGCCTCATCAAAACCCGAACCTGGTTCTGCATTCCCTTCGCCATGGGAGGAATCTGTATAAGCTCGCGTCCCCTATCCTCAGGCTTGATGAGCATAGCTAACCACTGTCATCCAAAGTCGAGATTTACGGATATGGCGGTCGCTGCGGCGCATATAAGAACACGGCATCCCTATTCTCCTATGCGCTTTCCAATAACGGCGCACTGCTCGCCCCAGCCCTATTCGCAGCCTCTATCTACATGACCCTAAGTCGGCTTATACGCGCTCTACACGGCGAAAAGCACTGCATAATTCCTATGAAATGGCTTACAAAGACCTTTGTCTTCGGAGACATAGCATCCTTCGCCGTGCAGGCATCATCGACTGGCCTGAGTGTTACAGGACACGGAGCAGCAGCCAAAGCAGTCGTGTTGCTAGGTCTATTCATCCAGTTGATATCGTTCGGTTTGTTTGGTGTGGTTGCTGCAGTGTTTTATAGGCGCATATTGAAATCCCCGACGTCCGAATGTTTCAATTCTAACGTACAGTGGGAGTCGAGTCTACATATGCTTTTCACGGTTAGTGCTCTTATCATGATTCGATCGATCTTCCGAGTTATCGAGTACTGGAGTGGAGAGTCAGCGTACCTGCTGCAGCATGAATGGCCGATGTATGTTTTTGATAGCGTTCCCATGCTGGTTGTCATGACTCTATTCTATGTAAGATACCCCAGTCGTATTCAAGCGAAGGGGAAATGATGAAGAACAAAGTGAGATATCCACTGATGCTGTAGGACGATGGGGAAGATGAGCTTACACAGCCTAGGGTATTTTGCTATGGATTGAATTTTATACTTAGCTTGCGTTATACGGGTTAGGTCTATGTCCATAGTAGTGAGTCATTGCGTGCTGAGCCGAAGCAGGGAGTTTTGTGGTCAAATGAAATATCATAATCATCAAAAAGGGCTATTAATCTATATTAATCGGTACATAAAAAGCGTCGCCAATTATACATTGCTCCAACAATCAATTACCCCAACCAAGCATCCACCGCCGACTTAAGAGCGTTCTGCAACCACTCATCCTCATACCGATTATCCATATCAAAACCATGATCACCATCCCGCAATGCCAGGACAACTTTATCACCACTCGCTAGACCCTTCGTAGCCTCAAGCAGCCGCACCACAAACTGCTCCACGTCCTCCAGAGGAACCACAGTATCCTGACGACCATGCCAAATCGCAATTCCTCCCTGCGGGATACTCATACCCGGCTCTTCCAGCCTTTTGGCAGGGTAAAACAGCTGTCGGCGCGAAGATCCCTCCTCCTGACGCTCATAGAAGCGAGCCAAACGGCCATGTTCAACAGCCGCAAGCATGAATGCGAGCCGAGCAGGAGAGCGATCCGACGACATGACCGCGCCAGAAGCTGCGGCAGCTACGGTGTCATCGATCACAGATTCAGGCGTATGTACGCCGAATGGTAAGGTTGTGCGCGGGGCCTGGAATCCCGCTGAGCTGGGGTTCACCCATGGGTAACCGGCCGTTGAGGCACGGATCTGGGATGGATAGGTCAGGGCGAGATAGAGGCTTAGTAAACCGCCTGCGGAGTCACCGGTTGTGAGAATGCGGCTGAGATCGATTTCGGTTGGTGTGGTGTGGTTGGCAAGTAAATCGGTCAGAGCTGGTGAGTGGAGCCAATTCCAGAAATCATCGATGTCGTCGTAGATCTCTGAGCTCGTGGATTCGGGCATGAGCCGGTAGTTAGGGCTCACGATCACGGCACCATATTTGAGGGCTAGGTCCGATGCCCAATGGGGGAAGAAATCCATGAATAGTGAGTCGCACGCAACCTATATGCTTTGTTAATGACCATATAATACCGATCGCGCTGGTGGGGTAGTTACCAAGGCGCCGCCATGGGTGCGGACGAGGGTCGGTCGTTTGCCCGTATAGGGTGTTTGAGGAATGAGGATGTCCACTCGAATGGCATGTTCGCCAATTTGCTTGTACGTGGCCTGAATGATGTCAAAGCCTTCGAGCTTTGGGTGAGAAGGGATAGACATTGTTGTTGGCTTCGAAGCTGCCAGAGGATGCCGACTTGTGTTATATGAGTGTTTTCTCCAGGTTATTAGCAAACAAAGAATTGATGCTCTAATGGAATTATGTCAAGAAGTTCTACGGTATTTATACTCAATGTGTTCATTTTGACCACGACGGATTTATCATCGTATGGCGTGAATCGATCCATCGCAGACTTAGGGCCAAGTTCCTCCGTGTTTAGAAAGTCCCCGAAGCGCTATCCAATTGATTATCTAACAATTGGTTCCGAACGCACGGTCAACATTAAGGGAAGCCGGAAGGATTCACTTATACACACTTAGAGGCAACGCTAAGTCGTAGATCTTCATTCTATTGGCCAATTCGGCCCTATATATGAGGCTAAATTGCTCTAACCACGATTCTGTCAGCACTACCGCGCCGAGTCGTACTCGACTTGGGGGTCAAAATCGAAAACCAAGTTTTTACATTTCCCTCTTTTCGCCTAGTTCATTTTTTCCTCTCCTTCTTCTGATTGGCTAGCTCGTATATAATCTACAAGTAAATAATTAAGCGGGATTGATTGCAAGATTCGCTGTTCTAGAAGTACCTCGTTTCTTCTCGTTCCTTTTGCCCTGTTCAAGGCAAAAAACAATAACAAGACTGGCACTAAACACCGCAGTTACATGTTTAATGTCCGCGTGTTTACTGGTTCATCACATATCTTCGAAATCTAGATGAGACACACAGGGTGTACATATGGAAGCTCAAACATGCTCTCTGGTAGCTTGTAGACATAGTATTCTTCCACAAAGGTGCACCCCATTAGATTATTCATTTTCAATGAGACTTGAGCTTCCCTTTACCCAGCACAGTTTATATAGACAGGAAGTCTCCTTGTTTAGTAAGTCTTGTCAACCCAGGCTCCGTGTCCGTCTTCCGACTCCGGCTTCATTTAACTGTTATTTTCCAGAGAGCCGTAATATATTTATTGTTATTTTATGTCACCAGAAAAGGCAAATTATATCTTCAGTCGCTTTCTAATTGATTAATTTTAAGCCAATCACTAGCCATGATATTCAACCCAGATAGGCAGGTGATGGCGCGCCTGTGGGTAATTTAACCAACTAAATAGAAAATGGTCCATTACAAATCCCCAATACTTTGTTTTGAAGCTTCTGAACCAAAAGGCTTTAATAAACAGAATAGAAACTTTTCATATCAACTCGACTGTCCCGAAAACGGTCACTCTACACAAACCTATTATATATATTGTAATTCAATAAGTTACAAAACCCAAATATATATATATATATAGAATACAAGCACACAGAAAAGGAACTTCTCATACAACCAACCCGGCTAAGTCAGACGTAACATGATCTAGCCAGGTACTCTCAGTTAGCTTTCGCCAATCTATGCGAAAGAGCAGGCAATGATTGGATCTTATCATGGATCCAATACACAGAATAGGTTTGAGATGGTCACGTGGTGTGTATCCAGGCTGAAAAACCACGAACCTTATCGATAATTTGCATGACCAAAACAAGCATTTCAAATACATTTCCCAACCAACAAAAGTACTTCCAGCACAGCCCCACTCATAATTAAAAACTTGGATCAATAGAATAGAATACTAAGGGAAGGATAATGGCCTCCATATGGCGCCGAATAATCCCCCAACGCGTGGCCAACACCGGCTCACAACTACGCGATCACCAAGCCAACGAGCGCACCTTTCTCTCCTGGACCCGCATGGGCCTCGGCTTCGCAGCTATGGCTCTAGCTCTCGGGCGCCTGGATGCAGTCGATCGCATGCTCTCCTCTGCCCTGTCAAGCAGCAAATTGAACCTGGTCGTCGGCTCGGATAACGCCACAGCCACTGTCGCTGCCACTCCAGTGTCCGTGCAGTCAAGCGGTACCAGCCACAAAAACAGCCAAGAACAGCATCCCAGCAGCTTGTTATTTTTCGACCACAACGGCGGATTTTCTGCCATGACTTTCTGTCAAGCCATTAGTGTCTCGTCGTTTGCGTATGGTATTTTTCGATATCTGTCTGTCCGGAAGAGTTTGCTTAAGGGGCAGTTCACACCGGCTGTCTGGGGGCCTGTTCTTATGACGTCTGGGTGTTTGGGGGTGTTTGGGACTATGGGTATGTGGGTTGAACAGAAGAATGCGTCAAGAAAGTCAAGACATGACTCCTGATGATTACTGGTATACTGGATTTACTGTCCATGGAACAGGAGAATGTATGTAGCATTTAAAAGCATAGACAACACTGGCGCTCCTAGTCAGGATTCTTAGACCAATCACAACACACTAGAGATAGATATGCATGTTCCGAAAAGAACTTTGTGGAGACAAGAATACGTTAAGAGTTAATGGTAGACAATAAAGTATCAAGGTGTGACCTGCCCGAAAATGGTCGTATTGTGTGAGGACGTGGGTTGAGCAAATCTAAAGGGCCTTATACAAACTTTTGTGTAAGCATCCAGTCAAATCACGACAAAGAGATTACTACTCCAACCTCCTCAGAAAGCCTAGTATCTAAAGGATCATGTTACTACGATGCTGCAGGAGTTACGTATAGAATCCAGGCTTAGATTGTCCGATAGCATGGTTGATCTCATGAACAAATGGTAAAGGGGGCCTCATAGACGATATAAACCTGTAGGATCAGTATAAAGATAGTAGATACTCAGCTCAACAGCCCGTCAGTGTCTCCAAACCTTTGCCAACATCGAGCCCCAGTTCCACCTTCAGACATTGCACTCCTGTCACCACCAGTGCTACGAACAAAAAGAGGAGCAAAAAAAGAAAGGGTCAGAGATAGTTGCCTTCTTCCAAGCTAGCTATCTTCTACGCTTAACAAAAGGTTCCGCTTTTAACACATACGCGGAAGGACCCTGATGGGAAGGAGCCGGGGTGCATGCTACAACCAGACACTATGTTTTTAATGGCTTTATATGCTGAAAATTTTGAAGCTCCGCCCAACTTAGCCAATATACCTGGTGGTAACCTCACCATGGGAAGCAGGAGAAGAGGTGAAGGCTTTTCAACTCTACTAGATATCGATGCTGGTAACACTGAAAGTGCCTATGGTAGGGCCACCCTCTGTAGCAAATGTGGCGTAGGAGGGATAGAATCATCGGTGGCAGTGCATTCGGTTCCAAATATCCAGCCATCGTCGCCAACCTCTCGACCGGGGTTCCCAAAGGCATTATACCAAGCTCGTTATATTCAGATCTGTTAGGGCTTCTAGTGCGAGGTTGTTGAAGCGATTCGCCCTAAGTTAATAGGTGCGTACCCAGTGCGTTCATCAAACTTCTGAATGTATCTTCCGCCTCGGGAATGCTACTTTCATCGACATCATACGAACTCTCTGGGGCTTTATCGACCGGAAGCTTCTCACTTAATTGGTCATAAAGATCACGGACAGCTTCAAGTTGTGCTTTATCGATCTGCTCCTCATTTACGACGTTTAAAGTTTTGAGACCTCCATCTTGGTAAGGCCGACGTAAATATGAGCCTTGGCTCCACTTGAGTATTGAAGCCAAGCAGTGAACGACATTTGGAATTTGCTGCTCGCGTGGAATGCAAACTCATCGAATACACTCGTACGGATTCCACAGGATAGCACCCTTACGAAGCCCTATCTTATGTCTGGGTTGGTGGGGACGGGTCACAATTCAGTATATCAATAGACAATAGGGCTTTTCACATTACCTGAAACCCCCACACAGTGTTATTGCGTCTGGGGAACCACAGTGTGACACGGCTGCTATGGATTGATGCCCAGCTCTGCTTCTACAATTTGCCTGATATGACTCATATTGTGTTGTCGGTTTGGAGATACGCTCTTTATCTCGTCCTCTGGGAAAAGCCAGCATTTGCTAAACTTCATGGTCGTGTACGGCGCTGAGATCTTGCAAAGTTAGACCAGGACCACGGCAAATGAACTGGATCAGCTAGCTGGCTCTGACTGGACTCCGCGAGAGTTAGGCCGGCCTGTACCGGAGGTAGAGCAGCACTGATCTTAGATTGGTTGGACCTTTACTGTCTCGAATGCCCTTCAACTCATTGGGGAGAGATGGAAGAGAGGGGCGATGTAGCACGGCGCCGATGATGAAAACCATTACGTATTCGAAATCGTTCGCAGAGGTCTGCTGCTTGTCCATCGTATAGCCGGGAGTGAGGCAGTTTGATCTCCTTCTCGGAATTTAGAAGTATATTCTGGAAATGGTTGAACTCTTTAGGGTTTGAAGGTCTCAGCATGTAATGTGTGGAACTTGGCTCTGGCTTCCCCAATAGTAAGGTCGAGCAAACATAGGTAGGCCATGTGCTTGGCCCTTGGTGCGATTTCACGGGACATTTTGGAGGATAAATGCTTGGAGTAGTAATGTGAAGATCGTGATATCGACAAGACCTATAGCTTGGGGACTATATCTTAGTGGAAAAATGAGGGTAGTCCGATAGCTCCATGATGTCTCAACAGTAGGACAAATATATAACATAGACTCATGTCGATGCAGAGTTGCGTTTCTAGATTTGCAGATCGTAAGAGAGGGCATCAAGTAAGCCCCAGAGGCAGGTATATTTATTGTAAAACACCCAAGCGAGTGATAGCTAGCTGAGTATAGTACCAATTCAAAAGCGATCACTAACCAGATGAGGGCCTTGTTATAGACAAGCTCATACAAAAAGTCTCAGAGTTTCACAAAGGACTTCAAAGAACAAAGAAACGGTGAAGTAATACTATATCCGTGTAGTGAAGAGAGGCCAAACATTCTCCGGAGCTTTTCCTCCGTTCATTGAAACTTATACCGCACGCTAGCATTTTCACTTTTTACCATTCAACCCCCGAAATTGTTATGAATGACATTGTGACTTCACTGTTAATGGGAAGAGTGATGTTAATATATTCTTCGAAAATATGAGCATAGTATTACTGAGCTGACGCAGACAGTTCGAGTGATGGCTCTGTGTCATGATGACTATTTCGTGGACATCATGAAATAGATAGTAGCAAACAAAAACGGGCTTCGAAACCCCAGTAAAGAGCTTCCCAGGTTTAAGATCAAGGGGTTTCAGCCACATTATAAACCAACTTCTGCCCGCTAACCTTGTTCTCCTTCAGCAATTGTATTCCCTCCAGCACACCCTTTAAACCATCGGTGCAAACCTTAACCGGGTGTATCTTGACCTTACCCTGTGCAATCAAGGGCTCGGAGAGTTTCCAGAACATCTCGGCGAATTCTCTGTCTTCGGGTATCGCAGGAATTTTGAGGTCACCGAACTGAAGTGGCTCTCCAATAATAGTGTAGCCCAGAGTAGCGCGATCGTTGACATTCTCACGCTCGATTTTGCTGTCCAGCAAATTACTGTACTCGCCACCCTTGGTTGAAAGAGCATTGTCGCAGAACCTCGCACTATCATCGAGAGAGATAGTGTCAAAGGCTAGTCTCAAATTATCATTGGTAGCCTCGCGGATGGCAGCGGCGGAATTGGGATCGCGATAGTCATACACAGCATCTGCGCCGAGCTTCTTGACAAAGTCGAAGTTGTGGGGCGAGCAGGTAGTGATGACATGGTAGCCCGAAAGCTTGGCATACTGGATAGCCAGAGAGCCAGTGGCAGTAGAGCCGCCATAAATCAACACCGGTTCCGGCTGGGAAATGGGCTCAGTTGGCAAGGCTAATTTCAGACTCTGGTAGAGGCCTTGGCCAACCGTGGTAATGCCAACACCCAAGGTGGCTGCCTCTTGGAAGCTCAGCGTGTCGGGTATGTGCATCTGGAGATCGCCCTTCGCAACGATATACTCAGCGAAGGCGCCGTCTTCGGGCTCCAGCATATTCGCGCCATGGGTAACGCCACAGATTCGATCACCTTTGCGGAAAGGTTTCTTGACATCCTTGCCTATTTCCTCAACAATCCCAGAATAGTCACATCCGGCGAGACTTCCAGTGACTCCGAAGCCCCACTCAACATGCTTCCAATCGGTGGGGTTCAGTGCTACGCTCACCGTTTTGATCAGAATGTAGTCATCCCGAAGCTTTGGTAGAGGGCGGTCGGACACGAGAGATAGCTGTTTGGAAGCCGTGTAAACAACTGCTTTCTGGGGCATTTTGAAAGCGTGGAGTGTGGTTTATGAGAATCATTGGGGAGGGAGAGGGGAAGCATTTATTATGGGCAAAGGAAGGGAGGGGCATGGGGGATTAGGGTTCGGACGGGGAACAATATGTAAGATTTTGGCGTCGCCCCCATTCGGAGATATATATTGTTTTGGTCACTGGAACAAAGAAGGAACGGCAGGTTGATGACAAATCGACCCGATCTTAGTGTGATGACTAATCCATCAGTTCATAAGCTAGTTCCATCGCTTCATCTCCACCTTTCCTACTCCAACTACTTGTCCTTGTCTTCCTCGGCTCAAGAGACTATGTCCTAATTGAGTAACCCAAGTGAGTTGGCTGTCTCCTTTATCCCCTATCTTGGTATCTTACTAAGACCAATTCTAGCGATTGATAGTTTTCTTGGCAATATACCACCAAAGAAAAAGTCATCAGGTGGTCGATATCAGGAGCCAAGAGATTGCTTGTCCAGTCTGACCAATGATTGCGAGGTTCTAAATATGTGGTGGACCCGGTTGAAAGATATCCCGATGTGCATACAAGGCATTTGATTAGAAAGCACAGAAATATCACTTTCATTCAGCGTTGCAGACAACCACACCGATAAGCGGGTGTGGTTCTATGCTCTTCCACAATGACTCCTTCCCCAAGGGAGCGTGTTTCTCGGGCCTGCGAGCATTGTCGTTCGCGGAAAATTAAGTGCAACGGCGAACAGCCATGCAACGCCTGCTCCCGAAATCCTCAAAGATGCGTTTATCGGACGGGTAGCATACGTAACAGGAAAAGTCGTCAAAACAGAGAACAACCCCGGACTCCAGCAACTTTACTACCAGCCCCACAGTCTCCAGCGATGCCTGGCGATAGTCCAAATATCCGCCTCGTTGACGATCCAGCCCACTATAAGCGGCAGTACGAGTTGAGGGCCGGCATTGGAGTATCCAATCCCGAGACCGGAAATTTCCAATTCTACGGTGAGGGCAGCTGATGTAGCTCGAAGCCCTTGATCAATGCTGACCATGTTCAGGGCCGTCATCTGGATGCGCCTTCCTGCAAAGAATCTATCAACGAATTCAAAAATCGCCCTCTCGGGAATCACTACTCAGCTGTCGAACGGGGCCGATCCCAGATGGCTTACTGAAATGGGGCGTGGAGAGGTTCATGTTCACAGCTGATGCTGATGGAGACCTGCGCCGGTCACGGTTGGCGGCCGAGGCATTCCTCCCTCAATCTCTAGGGGATGTATTTATTGAAGCCTACTTTAGAATCGTCCACCCGCAGATGCCAGTGCTTGTGTATACGGAGATTATTGATTCTTGGAAGCAGATGTGGGAAACTCCGATACGTGGTCGGCCGGTGAAGAACCAAGAAATCCTATTCATGGTCTTGGCTCTAGGGGCTCGTGTTATCCGGCTGAAGAAAAGCGAGCAAGAAAACCGAGCGGATGAATGGGCCGAATACTTTTCAAGTCGAGTGTCCGAAGGCTCTATTTTCATGCAGGAGCCAAGTGTCAAAGGGGTGAATTTAATGCTATTGAAGGTACGCATAAACCAAGCTCCCCTTATAGATATGGATGTTGACATCCCAGGCCATGTACTCGTTGCAACTCATGCGGCAGAACGATGCGTATTTGTACCTGGGCCATGCTACTCGAACTGCCATGGTCTTAGGCCTCCATCGATCCCAAGTGACTTGTGGTCGCGAACCACATTTGCACCGGTTACGTCATACCTTCTGGATCATGTATGTCTTCGAGCGGTTGTCGTCTGTGTATATGGGTCGACCTTCCTCGTTGTCCGACAACCAGATTGACACTGCTTATCCCGAAGATATCCCATGTTACATGGATGAGTCTTTTCATTCACCGGCGGTTGAATGCACATGGACAAGGGTTATGGCTGACATTGCCAAACTCGCCGACCACATTTCAGTGGACGTTTACTCTCCCGCTAGCATCAAAAGTCTTGCGGACACGGCGAAGGTGGAACAGACTCTCCTCGAATACGATGCAGCCTTACAAGCCACCACCCGATGTCTGCCGGAGTACTTGCACTTCTTTGATGAGTCCGTACCCGTCGGCGAAGACTGGCAAGAAATCCAGCGCCTGAGTCTGGGATTCGCCTATAATATTGTACGGATGCTTTTATACCGACCGGCCCTGGTTTTAACGACCTTCTTTACATCTACGAGCGAAGCACAGCGGATCGCTGCAGGCTGTATCCGTCTGCAAGAATGCATTGACAACTCGACGGCAGCAGCGCGCAATTTGATCGGTTTGGCCCACGACGTCTATTTCCGGCGGTTTCCCGATATCCGGTACGACGGGGCGCTGGCTTCGTACATGGTCTCAGCCATCATGACATTACTCTACAACGTGATGAACCTGGGAACAGAACCGGACAAGGCACATGAAACATTCGCCGTGGTGGAACAGGGCATCAGATGCTTAGATGATATTGAGCATACTGGGTACACTGTGACAAAGGTTCTAAGTATGGACTTGATGAAGGTGGCCAAACAGGCGGTGTTGGCAGCGGATCCAGTGGTAGACACGAACCAAGTTTTAGTCGATTCATTTCCTTGGTTAGAGTATGATTCCCTTCTTGTACATTTTAATCACTCATTTAACTGACTTGACAGTGATTTCACTCCTACCACTACGATGGATACCAACCCTGTTCCCACGCCCTACATCTATCCTCAAGAAGACGGGACCTTTCCTGTGCTTGGATCACTGGCTTCAGATGTTGCTCTGCTGTCGGGCTCTCAAGTTAACTGCCAATGGCTTAGCAATGGACTCGATCCACAGAGCATTCCGGGATGCTTGCATTGAGTAGGTCGAGGAAAGGCAGCTGGACCAAAACAGCGAGAGACCACGACGACCAGCCACAGGTCCCCAGCCAAGGTCATAGCGCTTGCAGTGACCAAATCGACCCTTCGTTGTGGACCACATGGCGAACGACCAGTCGACAGATCTCTGGCGCTCAATGTAATCCAGACCCAGGCCGAAAACCCTCATTACAAAAGGCCTGCGAGCCACCCTTGAACCTCCAAGCCGAGATTGAAACCCTACACCAAATACTATCCTGTGTTACTTCCACTCCAGCTATGCTGTGTAGGAAAGCGACCGGGCTCCAAAGGCTCTCCCCTGGCTTCGCCATGATCTTGTTACCAAGAGATCTCATCAAAAACCAACTCTTCCACGGGCAACTCCCCCACCCCAAATTGCGTTACCTCGGCCCGTCCCTCGGACGGAATTCTTCAGTGGTCGATGTCGATCTCCATCCAATTCTCGGCTACATGCCATGTTATACCTGCCAGTCACCATCGAAGATCTAAAACTCGATTTTGGTGGTCAATTGTGCTTTTTATGTACAGGTGTAGTGAGTGTACTTAGAACGAGGCATAGATATAAAAATAGAGACAAACTACTCAAAGCTAATAACAAACCGACCAATCGCACGGCCTAAGCGAGTAATTATACGAGGGAATAAAATCATCCAGTAAACAAATACCGCATTCAGGGGAGGGGCCTAGTAGACAAGTCACACCTGACTCCCCGAACCCTTTTACGAAGTGGCATTCTTTTCCTAAACTACCTACTACTGCTACTACAAATCTACCTACCGGATTCTGTTCACGGGGTACAGATACACTGCATCCACAGGCACAGCATCCCAGAACAATAACGAGAACAAGAACAAGAACAAGAACAAAACGAAAACGAAAATGAAAATGAAAAGCAAAAGCAAAAATGAAAAAGAAAACAAAATCACACCTCCATCCCCATCCACCCCATCTCAAACCACCATCTACTACCACTAAAAGCGTCCACAAAACCATTAAGTCGAAACCCGGATAACGCACGCAAAAGCCCAATGATACAAGGTTCCCTGGCCACAATAGACACGAGACCAGGGAAAGCAAATGTTAAGGCATCTGGTTAGCATTTTCCTGGGCCAGAGGACGCGTTCCGGTAGTATGAGCACGTCTACGGAAGAAGACGCGCTTAGCCCATTTCCAGAGCTCAACGCCCATGAAGAAAATGATGGCTTCGATGAAGACGATGCCCCATTCCCATGAGATACCGCTGTGTTTGAAGACGATCCTATTGATGACGGGGATGTATAGGATCGGGAAAGTAGTGATGAAGCCGGCCATGATAGACCAGAAGAGGAAAGGGTTACGCCAGACATCGTACATCCATTGCGTGAAGTAGCGCTTGGATTTGGGCTGCATGCGGAAGAAAGAGCGGCGCATATTGACCATTTCCCAGGCAAGGAAGAGGGCGAACCAGGTCAGGCAGACGAAGGTGGTTGCGCGGGCGCGGAAGACGAGCTCGCAATCTTCGGACCATTCTCTGTTGCAGCCGCGGGCGAGGTTACCGTCGCCGAAGCCCCACATGCGGATTGAGAAGGCCGAGAGGCAGAGGGCTGCGGTCCAGAGGCCGTAGACGAGGATGTCGATGATGACTTCCCAGGTGAAGATGCCAGCTTTGTCTTGTGGCGGGCGGTCCATGATGTCTGGGGCGGCGACTTCCATGCCGAGACCCATGTCAGGCATACCGGAGGTGATCATGATGATCCAGATGATTTCTACGGGGGAGAGGGGGAAGACGGAGCGGCCGTCTAGGTCTTGAAAGGCAAGGCCGATGAGCAGGGTGCAGGCTTGGGCGATGTTCTCGGAGAGCAGGTGGAGGACGAATTTTTGGATGTTGTCGAAGATGCGGCGGCCTTCTTCGACGGCGTTGAGGATGGAGGCGAAGTTGTCGTCTGTGAGGATGATATCGGATGCGTCTTTCGCGACGTCGGATCCGGCTTGGCCCATGGCGATGCCGACGTCTGCGTGCTTGAGGGATGGGGAATCGTTGACGCCGTCGCCGGTCATGGCGGCGAAGCGTCCACGGCGGTGGAGTGCGTCAATCATGCGGACCTTGGTCTGTGGAGCACAGCGTGCAATGACTAGAGGTAGGGTGGGAAGTGCGTCTACTTGGTCGTCGGTGAGTTTATCGAATTGGCCGGCAGTCATGACCATGGCATCGGCGACATCAGCCGCCACCGTGCTGAGATCCGCAGGGAGGATTCCCACTTGCT